TGGACATCCTACTTGGGCCTCTGGGCAGGTTTTGTTCATGCTGGGGGCAGGGAAAATGAAAGGAAGAGACTTCAGCTGCCTGGTCCATATTTAACCTCCTTCGCGGGGATAAGAATGAATCTGTAGAGTTTTTGCAGGCAAAAACTTACCTTGCCAAATGCTAGGAAATTTTTTTTTTTTTTTGCTACTCTTTCAAGGTTTGGTACTCATTCAAAAAATATCTGTTATTTAGTTTTTAAGAACCAGAACAAATACAAAATTTTACTGATCCAATTCAGTTATGTTCACACTCTTGTATTGCAGCTCTCTAAAATATTAATGGTAATAGATCTGTCATTAAGTAGGCTCCCTGGCATCTCCCCTCCTAAAGTGAAATAGTGGTAAATAGGTCATGAATTGAGAGCCAAGGGGAATGCAACCTAAATAGTGTCATCACTGGATTTTGTCTACTACTTGCTTCTGGTGGGCTGCTGGGGCACCCTTGATGGACCAATAGTGGTAGATGCTGTTGGGTATCATGGCAAAAATGACTTCCCTGGCAAGGAGTTCATACTAATGCACTAAAGCGGGGTTTATATTGGACCTTGTGAGGACTTGGGCACGGGATGTAAGGGAGAAAATTATTTTCTCATCCAGTACTGCCTAAGATCAAGTTCAGCCACTGCGATGCTGGGAGCCCCGGGTTGTTTGCTGGAGTCTCAGAAGAAGGAGGAGGATAGGAGATGGATCCAACCATCAGGGCAGAGATGGACTCTGTTGGCAGGTTTCACGTGATTTCCACAAAGTGGAGCCCTCACTGCTTGTCTTACACCCACCAAAGACAAACAAAGATCCCAATGATGTTGGGTACTGCAGGATCAGGTGTTCCTCTGGTCCTGGAAAAGGCTAGATAGGCACAGTGCATTTCACGCTTCAGTTGAACTTACGGTACTAGAGCTGAACTCTCAACCCCATGTTTTAGCAGTGAGACAGTCCAAAATGTAAATATTTAAAAGATGCAAAAGCATGGTTTAACACTGAAAACATCACACACATTTTCCACTTCTAATGCTTCCTATATGGCTTTTCCTGGTCCCCACTTCCTGTTATGAACGAAGTAAAACCTCTCCATCAACCTTTTAAAGAGACTTTGAACCTCTTTTCCGTTGTCTTGCAGTGTGACAGGGTTTGTGAGAAAGCACTTGTGGAAACCATGCCAGGAGAGGCAAAGTGGGGAGCTTCGGACATGTTTTGAGGCTTTATTCTTCTGTTCTGGTAGCTGAAAGTGATTTTGTAGGCACGGATATTGTGATACACGTAGTGGAAAAGATTGATCTGTTCAGTAATGTCTCTTTCAGTCTTCACAGAAGTACTTGCTATGGGGAGAGGCTGATAAATACAATCTCTAAATCAAAGTTGTTGGAGGAGAAGCAACCACAGGGAAAACACAGAGAATATTAAAGAGTATTTAGATTGTTGAGGTAAATTAAAATCAGCAGGACCTCCTAACATCTGCCACATTTGGCTTAGCAAATAGATATGCAATTTCTGAACCTTGAAAGGCTGTCATTAAGAACAGTCAGGTCAAGTAAAGAAAATTTAAGAAAGTGTAAGGATAATGCCTGTTTTTAGAAAAAACAGAAAAGGAGTAACCCTGAAATCAGGTTAACTTGAATCCTAGGAATGATGCTGGAATAAACGATCAGATAAATAATGGTAAATGCCTACAGGAAAATGAAGTAACTAAAAATGGCCAGCATGAGTTTGTCATGCAGGAAAAAAAAATGAAGTCAAACCAATCCAAGTTTCCTTTTTTTTTTTTTGAGAGAGAATAATTGATTTGGTGGATAGCAGGGAAAATGGATTTTGATTCTGTGTAGGGCATTTTTGGCCCTTTTTTATGGGACAACCTATTACAAAACGCAAACACGTGTCAGGAAATACTGTCAGGACGTCAGCTGAGCCATCTCAGCTGAGCCATCACCGCCACTGGTGGTGGAGTCGGACTCCACGTGTGGCCTCTCTCTGCTTGCACGCTATTTCTGGTCCTGTTTGCACAGTAGCTTGGCTTAACCAGGAGGATCTCATTTGTTGTAGCCCAAGTGGAAAACATAGGCTGGCTCTTCTCTGGACTGAGCAGAAGCAGGACTCACATACCTGGGAGGTTCTTCAGATCATGAGGCTGGGATTCCCAGTCCTCACCATCCTGGTAACTGTAGTCCTGGCCATGTAGTTCTGTGCCTGTGTGGTCACTTAAATGCAAGCAAGCACACAGGGAGCTTTCAGACTAAGGCAGCAAGTTGTGGAACAAACTTCTCATCATTCAAGGTCAGATAGTCCAGGAGAGTAAGTAGACTAGAGTGTCCATTAGATGCTTTTGGTCCTGGCAGGGTTGGATGCAAATTGGATTAGATACTGTTGGAGAATAACAGAAACAGAAGACATGGTCAGTGCAGAGATCTTGAAAGAACTGGTTTTGTTAAGTCTAGGGGGAGAAAAAGGAGAGGGACCATAGTAACAGTTTTCAGTATACGAAAAGTTGCTTGAAAGAGGATGTTAACTAGTTATTCTGTGTCCCGACAGCAACAGAATAAATTTTATTTCCAGCAAATACTTGGGTTTAATATTTGAAACACATTCTAAAGTATGATTGAGCACCTGAGCAGGCTACGCAAGGAACTTGTAAAATCCCCACCAGTTTAAATAAATGTCTGTTGGAGATAGGCAGGACTCAGCATAGCTAGACTCCAAGCTGGGATGTGGCATTCATCCCAAATGGGGTGAATGATGCCCTTAATTGCCTCTAGCTTTGTGCTTCAGGTGAGTGCAGGGTTTTCTTCTAACTCCATGGCTTTTTCCTTCATTAGCTGTTAGGAACATAAATTTGTCCTTTTTAACTGGGACAACATCCGTTTTGTTCCATATCCCCTTAGACAGAAAGCTGTGGGTAGCTCTTTTGTTTGCTGTATTAGTATCTCCATGAAAGTAATTTTTTTTTGGTCCAATATTTTTTATGGATGTCATCCTGACCAGAGGGCTTCTTTTGGAGAAGAGCCTTCAAGAGAGATGTAGCACTCCCTGTCCTGATCCCCATGGTTTGAGGGCGGCAGTCTGCTGAGTCTGCTGTTGTTGTCCAAGGTCCAGCCATGGGTCTCAGAAGTGCAGTCCAAAGGAAGAGACACATGTCTGTGCTCCAGGCTCCTCTGTTTATTATACTTCTGAGCGAAGCTTGCAGGAAGTGAAGCCCTCCAGTGTAACTGAGGAAAGGAGCTGTTTTCTCAAAGCCATTTCTTAGAATTTGCTCAGAGATCAAGGTTGTCAGGAGCAGAAGGTCAGAAACATGCCACTTTCTAGGCGGTTCGTCCTTTTCAATAAATGGATATTTTGAGGTTTGCATAATATGTTTTGACAAAAGGATTAACTTCTCTGTAGAGAGATAAAAGGATTCTGATATCATTGTGCTGTTTGCAGCCAAGCTGTGGATAGTGGACGCAAAACTTCTTTTGTTTTGTTTTCCTTTCAGTCAGTACCGACAAGGTAGCAAAAGAAAAAGCCGTCCTGTGAGTGTGAAAACATTTGAAGATGTCCCATTGGTAACCACTGTAAAAGTTGTTCAGGAGGTGAGTTTGTCTGTTGTTTGTATTTCTTTTCCTTCTGTTAATGTCTGTCTTTGGGTTTGTTTTGGTTTTTTTATCCCTTTCCATCTAATGCATTTGTAACACCTTCGCAGGAAAACCAGACAGATAGTGGGATGATTCTTGCGTCTGAAGAGCTGCAGACATTGGAAGAGAGCAATAAACAAGTGAAAATACCCTTTAGGTAAGGCTCAGGTTGCACATAGGATTGAATATGACCTTTTGCTTGCAGTATGTCAGAAGACTGACTGGTTTGTAAAATTTTTTAGAAGACAAAAACTTTTCTTACTGTATTTTTAACGACACAAAGAAAAATTGTGCACTGTATGCCAGTCATCTGCATTCGGTACCAGGAGAGGAGAGGTAATGCAGCTGTTGAAAGCATCAGCCAAAGGACTTGTATTTATCAGCTGCAAAAGCATCAAGCACCCCTCGAAGGAACCGAGCAGGTGCACACAATTGACCGTATTTGTGAAGGCCTCTCTGCAATGACAAAGAGCTCTTTTTTTTCTTTCTTTCTTTTTTTCTAAAGCTGACTCTCGAGTTTTCAGGATGTACCTGAGTGTATTTTCAGAGCATTGTACAGGGGTTTCATTGTGCGGTTCGCAGGAAGCACGGTGGCATTCATGGAGCTGAAACCTCACGTATGCTCTCTGAGAGCGTCTCGGGAATTATTTTTTCCAGGACAACTTCAGTACAAACAAGGGTATGCTGCAGTTACGATTGCACCAAATGTGCTCAGTCCTGTTCCTGCCTGTTTTTTCGCAGCACGCTGGTGCCCAGCAAGAGTAACGAGTCCGTCATGTCCGAAGCCTCCAACCAGACGAGCGGGTACCAGTCCGGGTACCACTCGGACGACATGGACACCACCGTCTACTCCAGCGAGGAGACTGAACTCTTGTGCGCCCGGGAGGCGTCGCCCCCGCTCTGCCGCGCTCACGGGCTCGCCTACGA